ACTGTAAGAAGTCTTAACCCTTAACCCTTAACTGTTGGTCACAGGATCAAGATAAGAAACACTTCATGAGTAGGTGAGAGATTCTAAAATACTTAAGCCTGGTTTTACCATGGAACTGGAAGCTTAAAAAAAAGACAACTGGCTATAAATGAGCATTTCACAGTACTAATTACCAGGACTGGCTGGCTCCCAATCTTATCCCTCTTGGTTTATGCAATTCCCCAGAGAGCCTCTACACTTAAGATACTGATAGAGCACACCATACAACAGACTTCTTGTGCCCATATCCTAGAACCAGAGTCCTGGGTTTAATCTGCTGAGCCTGAGACTAAAGACTGATAAAACCTTTACATTAGCACTCTTCTAGGATTTAAATTCTTGGGAAGATTCTTCAAAGTTAATGATTAAGAAAGCGTGAGGACCTACATGTACAGTAGGTCTGTCTTGTCCGTCTCAGCAATGTTAAATACTCAGTAAATGTGTAGGTTCAGTAACTCAATTAAATTTTATTTAAATTAAAAATTGGAAAGCCCTCTTTAGATAGGTTGTTTGCAGAGCCTCCTATGTCATAACACCAGCCCTGTTCTATTTTGAGCACTGGGGAGATAGACACAGGGTGAAGATTATTGGCATGCTCTATAAGGATTGGAAGAAATTTTAGAAATACAGTCCCTGTTTCTAATTTTATAGCACAGTTCCTGGCTTCAAGGAACTTGAAGTCTTCTTAGAAATAAGATAGATACATATGCAGGAAATTAAACACCAGAACAAAATGATCCACTCCTTGCTGCCAGACTGCCTTTAATTACACGACCCATTCTGGAAGAAGAGACCTCTATATTTCTATCTCACCCACTCTTCAAGATCCAGGTACATGAGGTATCCAAAACTCCTTCTCCTTATGGGACCCTAAAGCCCTCACTGTTAGTGCTTCAAGTTTTACACTAAACCATTTCCCTGTGCTGATAATTTGAAAAGATACCACTCAACATCTAGGGAAGCTGTGAAGCTCCCTCTGAACCCAGCACATTATCTACCTCACAGGAAGGAGTTGGGACCCATCTACAGCAGCATTTCCTTGGGTCCCCAAGTAGATGGCCAAGCTGACCTGAAGCAGATTTGTCAAAGTAAGGATCTCTCTTACTCACCCCAAACCTTAACTATTCCCCGATCCTATCTTCTCCTTAATCCTACTCAAGAAGGCAAGCTATTATGTGACTGATCAGTATTTAATTGTATAGGAAAAGACTTAGGTTTGAACCCTGTCTTAGGAAACAGGATTGTATAGAACATGCATATGATGGAATATTTTATAGCAATTGTTCACGGAAATGTTTGATTAGTGTGACAATGTGGTTATAATACACAATCTGTATATATGGTAGTCTGCCACCAACATGAAATATATTTACATATCTGAAAAAATAGAAAAAGACATGCAGAGGAGAAGTACACCAAATGCAAGTAGCCACCAAGTGGCTCTGTCTAGATGAGAGGATTATGAGTTACTCACATATTTAAACTTTTTGTATCCTATTTTAGATACTGACTGGATATCATTCTTGCAATAAAAACAGATAAATCTAATATGAGGTTGTAAATCATTTTTCCACCTACCTTAGTAAAGATTAAAACATACAATGTGCTGTCAAGATTAACTTAATGCTTTCTGTAAAGAGGCAGTGAGAAATTGCCCATGAAATTGTGACTGTGAGAATTTTACCAGGTAGTACTGTAAGTTATCTTATATGTGATTAGGCAGTGTTCCTGTAGATGAATGTTTGTGAAGCTGCATCTTAAAAGGTTCAGTTACCAGATTTGCTAACTCACAGATTTGCTGCAGCAGTTTTAAAAACAGTAATTTAGAATGTGACAAAGTTGATGGTAGCATTTAGGAAAATCCTGAAGCATTTTAGTTCTATGTCTTATGAGAGTAAATTATTTATTTTTAAAAAAATCCATTTCTTATTGTGGTATAACACATACACAGCAGTATACACTTGAAGTGTGTAACTTTACGAATTTTTGCCAAGTGAACATATTCTTGTAACCTTCCTTTTATTATTGCTGTCTAGTGGTGGTATTTATCTGCAACAGCATTTTCATAGACTTTAAGGCGTATCGTTGTGTTCTGTGGTCTCCAGAAGTAATGTTTTACACATTTTGGTCTCAATAGCTCTTTGAATTTTTAAAATTTTCAAGGAACTCTAAATTTTGCTTAGAATAAACATTTTTGTTCTAACATTTTGGTAGTAAGAAGATAGACTTTTAAAGATTTGAAGATGAAAGAAAGCAATAACTCACTTACTGACATCTAGCCTCTGCAGATTATGGTTTGCTTTCATTCCCAACTGTGGCCCTGTTTTGCTGTGGAGGGCAGGCAATTTCTCTGCATCCACATGTGGCACAGCTGAGGTTGTAGACTGAAGAAGTGCACAGCCATCTGTAAGTGTGTCAGGCCTTGAAATCCTATACCTATGAAGAGCAGTTTCAGAGATTGGCACCTACAGATGAGGAAACTTAGGCCTGAAAGGGTGCATGTCTTGCTCAGGGTCACAGAATTGGCATCAGAGCTGAGTTTAGACCTCTGATGCCAGATCCCTTTACTAAACCATGTTAAGAAAAAAAAAACCTCACCTTTTCTACCAAAAATGCAACCCATTGACTGTGAAATTGACAACTCAAGAAAATAAATTACCTAATAAACCTGACAGCATTGACTTGAATTGAAATACATCCCTTGGGTTACTGCAGGCGAATAAGGGACAGTGTGGCAATGGTATAAATGCCAGTCTGTAATTGTTTGGAGCAGTTGTGAGATTACAATGAACTGGAATAACCCTGTCAATAGGGAAAATGTGGCGTGATGTCAACTTGTGATCTTTCCCAGGGGAGTGAGCCATGTCAGGAAACCCGGCAGGGCTTCTAGAACACAAGGTTTCTAGGCCATGCTCCCAGTCACTGGACAGGGGACTGGTAACTGCACCTGTAAGATGACCTTCAGTGTTTCATGACTGGGGTTTTGAGATTTTAAGCTATCTATGGTAGCTAGGGGAATAAAGCTGCTCTTTGGTTTTCTAGGGGAGCTCGTACAACATTAAGCATTCTCTGTGGTAGGCCATGGGGATTTAGTGCTTAATAAAACATATCCATAAGGACTTTATGGAGCTGACAGTTCCAAAGAGAGATTGTTGTTGCCTCCAGAAATCTTGGTTCTGTTGGATGCTGGATTAGTGACATGCACAAGAGTTTCATCAGGGGCTATGGATGTAGCTCAGTGGTAGAGCATGTGCTTAGCATGTGTGAGTCCCTATGTTCAATAACTCAGCACACACACACAAAAATTCATCACAATAAATTGATGTTTACCTACCTGTGTGTTTTGTTTGTTTGTTTTTGTGGGATTGGGGTTTGAACTCAGGGTTTCCACTTTGCAAAGCAAGCTTTCTACTCTTGAGCCACAACTTCAGCCCTAAAACCTTGGTTTTGTTTTTTGGGGGGGGGTTTTGCAGGGGGAGCGGGGGGCAGGATTTGTGGTGGTACTTCCTCAGAGGCCAGACTGAGAGCTTGTTCCCAAATATTGTGACCATCCCTGCCTTTGAGCTTTCAAGCATGCCTCTTGTCCCTGTCACATTTAGAATAACCCTTCCTACCCTTCTACTTCTCCAAATCCTATCCAACCTTCAGGGCCAAGTCTATTCCTAGCCTCTTTTCCCAGTCTCTTTTCCACAGAGTGCAGGAAGCACGTCTGCCTATCCCATGCCATGAATGAAGCAGCTAGTTTGGCCTAGTGGGGGAAAATGGGCTGCGGGATACTACCTGGGATATCTTGGGCTGCAAGATTTTCCCAGCCTAGATATCTTCACCTAGAAAATGGGAATAATGATTGTAGTTGGCCTGTGGCCATGCCAGTTAAATGAGTTCATACCATTGGAAGCTATAGAACAGTGTCAGGGACACCAGTTCTCATTAAGTAGTAACTCTTATTATTCCTCCCTAGTGTGTATTTATTCATAGCCTTCTTGGTGTTATTGTTTAATCATTTTAATTACCTATTTCTTGTCTTCTAGTGAAATTGCAAAGCCTTCCCATGAAGAAAAGGACTTGGTTTAAAATTTTATTGACCCTTTACTACCTGTGCATATATAGGTCCCTAGTACACATCACTTAAAATGAAACAATTCTGTATTAAAGGAAATAGATGTAGCAAGGAGTGAGATTGCAGAGTAAGATAGGCTTAAGTTCAGAAACAATTTTCTTACAGTTTCTAGAGCATGTAACTTGTTCTTTTCCCTGTTGTTGTTGAGTCTAATGAAGTCTTCTGCCATGACCACCAAAAGTGAGAACGTTATTTAGGAGGCGGCTAGCAATTTCAGGCAGTTGACACAGATACTGTTTTCTTCTAGGTCCATGGTGGGAAGGACGGTAGAGTCTGATCTATCTAAAGTATTTCAAAGCAATAAGTAGGAGGTCATAAGCTAATTGCTTTAACAGACCCCTTTGCTGGGGGATGGAAAAGTCATCAGTGGGGAAGGGACCTTAATTACCCTGCTGTTCCCTCCTTCTTTACTTTCAACTTCACCTGTCAGTGTCACAGACATTTGGGGGACATCAAAAGTTATCCCTAGCCAGCCACCAGTGGCTCACACCTATAATCCTAGATACTCAGGAGACAGCGATCAGGAGGATCATTGTTTAAAGCCAGTCTGGGCAAATAGTTTGCAAGACCCTGTCTTGAAAAACCCTTCACAAAAATAGGGCTGGTAGAGTGGCTCAGGGTGAAGGTCCTGAGTTCAAGTCCAAGTACTGCCAAAAAAAAAAATAGTTATCCCTAGCGGGAAGAATTGTGAACAATAAAACCAGGCAGATTGCAGACAAGGGTGCAGTGGGGCCCTCTGCTATCCACCTAACAGTCCAGCATCCCTCATAGAGGGTTCCTCACCAAAGCCCCTGTGGGTGCCCTCTCCCAGGTGAAAATGCTGCCTTTCTCCTTCTCGTAGGCTGGAACAAGACATTAAAAAGTTGAAGGCTGACCTGCAAGCCAGCAGGCAGGTGGAACAAGAGCTCCGCAGTCAGATCAGCTCCCTCTCAAGCACTGAACGAGGGATCCGCTCAGAAATGGGCCAGCTCCGGCAAGAGAACGAGCTGCTGCAAAACAAGTATGTGTACCTTGCAGGCTTTTTGGCATCCAGCCTCGTGGCCTTGCTGGGTCTTGTTTCCAGGGTTGGAGCACAAGATTCATGGTGACAAAGGAACTTAGCAGAGAAGTTTTAAAATAAAATGTTTAAAATATCAGATATTCAACATGTTTTATAAAATCTATAAAAACTTCATTGCAACAAAACAGTTTATTAATAATACTATTTTGTCTTCTCTCTTTTACTAACTTATTATTTAACAACTTAAAATAGTTATTGAGCTTTGTGATTATATAAGTAAAATTGATTGATAAGTAGTTTTGCTACAATTTGAAAATCTTGTTCCTTTGAGGGAAAATTTTCAGAGGATCAGACTATATTTTCTTTGATTCCCAAAACTAAAAACTGACATTGAACTTTAGTTTTATTTGAAGAGGCAGGCAAAAAGCAGCTCTTTTGGGTGAATTCTTTTAAGCTTTCTATTAATTCATTCTGGAATTGCTTGTTTATTCAATGTGGAACTGTCCTTTTTTTAATCTCTAAGCAATGTTTGTCTGTCACAGTGATTACTATTATAGGCTCAGGGCTTTCCCCCATTAAAAGAAGAGTCACACATTTTGGACAAATGTTAACCCAAAGCTAGTGCATTATAGGCAAAAAAAAAAAATTCCCTATTGCTTCTAACCAAAATTTGTGGTGGTTCTAGCATTGATCCCTAGGGGACGTGCTGGTAAAATTCACCTCACATTGACATGTAAAGTTTTGGGTGACTTACAGTCGTAAGAGTTAGATATGGGGACATTGAGGAAACATCTCAAAACTGGAAAGGAAAAACTGCAGCATGGCTGTATTCACAAAAACAAAGGTCTCCCTTCCCCTATAACCTCTATTTATTTCACTTTCAGTGAGACTAGTCCTATCAGTGGTTCTTTGGTCACACCTAAGTTCTTTCTGGGTGCCATAGGTCACTAGAATTAGTTCTACAAATATCTTGCCATCTGATAGAAACTTCTTATATCGTATATGCTAGATTATCTGCAGTAGGTCTCTTATCTTAACAGCAGAGTGTAGGTCCGATTCTGGGTCTTATGAGACAGCTTGCTTATTGGTAGTTAGGAATTATTAAATAGTAGTGGCCATGTGTTTTCCCAAGGCAACTGGAAGTTGATACTTATGATTTGCTGTTCATACCTCCTGTTTACTTCGCCTTAAAATGATTTTAAGGGGCTGGCATAGTGGCTGATATGGTAAAGCACCTGCCCAGCAGGTGTGAAGCCCTGAGTTCAAACCCCAGTACCACAAAAAAAAAAATTTTTTTTTAAAAGAAGAAGCAGCAGCCATGTTTCTCAAGGTTTAGAGGGGGTATTTTTAATTGTAAGATTATATATGACAATTGTTTCCATATAGGTTACATAATGCTGTCCAAATGAAACAAAAAGACAAGCAGAATATCAGCCAGTTGGAAAAAAAGCTAAAAGCTGAGCAGGAAGCCCGAAGTTTTGTAGAAAAACAGTTAATGGAAGAGAAAAAAAGGAAGAAGTTAGAAGAAGCCACTGCTGCCCGGGCTGTTGCATTTGCTGCTGCATCTAGGTATGTCATGTCACCTGAGTGTTAATTCAAGGTTGGCTTCCCTGGTCCCAAGACAAACATATGAATTTGATGCCATAGGCAGGACTGGACACACAATAGCCATGCATGGATAGATTGTGTTTGTGTTTGTGTTTGTGTTTGTGTTTGTTTCATGCAATGCTAAAAATCAAACTCAGGGCCTCATGCATCCTAAGCAAGCACAGTCACTGAGCTACACCCCCAACCCTGATGGATTGCTTTTAAGTACTGTTTTATTTAACTTGTTTCAACTTCATCTGTGCCTGCTTGCACTGTCTCATAATAACCTCATCCTTCTGCACCCTCACTTGCAGAGTGGGGTGAGGGAACGATAACACCAAGTGCTGCTTAACAGATCAATCACTTTTGGTAAGACTAGTGATCACTAAATGCTTTGAGAGATTCCATCTGCAGTTTTGTTCCCTTTATAGGACTTATCATTGCTCTCCCTTCTTAGATAGAGGTTTTACTGAGTTTTTAATCTAAAATGGAAGAAAGGGAAAACCTTGGTAAAACATTGTGGACTAGCTGCTCATGTGTGTTGGGTTATCAGTAAAGTGTCAGATGAGAAGAAGAAAAGGGACAGCAAAAGTCTCTATTAGATACCATTAAATCTGTGGAGTCAGGAAGACTGGGGAAGTGACTTATATGCAGGTATTCCAAAAACTGATCTATAACTGCCACCTGACTTCTAATAAGGAGAGAAGATGTTGACGAGGCCCCCCCTCCCCCCGTCTTTTTGCTTCTACTTTACCTTCTTTTTGTTTGTTTTTTGATTAGTGATGTCCATTTACATGGTTGGGTTTGCAGATGCAGAGTGAGGATAAATTATTTCCCTTAAAATTTTTGTCCTAATTTATATCTACATGGTGTGATTCAACTATAATTCTTCCTTGAATTTTCCCTCAGTATATTAAACAAGTAATTTACTCACCAACCTGCCAACCTCTGCCATGCTGATAGCCTTCTTTGGGATTCTGGCATTTGTAGAACAATTAGCGAATAATCATTTCACCCTTTAGGAAATAACAGTGAGTAGTGAGAACTCTTTCTCCCCCATGAGCATTTTTCGACCCACAGACTCTAGACTGCAGGTGTGTGAGCCTGCATGGCACACATGCATCTATTTAAGACTCACAGTGACTAGCCCGTGACTAGCCTGCCTCCAACATGAGGTTGTTTGTTGGAAGATGTATAAACGTTTTTGAAGCACTTGCACTTGTAGGAGGTTCTGTATCCTGAATGGCTCCACTGTGGCCTGATCACTCCACTGAGGAGGATTTGGCAATTCTTTAACCATAACATTTAGAGTCTCCCATGTCTGAGAATTAGGTTCTCTATCTGCCCTATGACCATTTGCTTCCAGTTGAGCTTACTTGTTTTGGTCTCATCCCTGGAGGGTCCTTGTTGACCATCACTAATGTTAACCTGTTTTTACTCTTAAATCTCTCACTGGACCGTCCTTTGGTAAACAGAGGACACATACTTTATTCATCAAGCTGTTACTGGAACCTTGGCAGTAAACAGTTCCACAGTTGAAATGTTGGACTGACCACAGCCATTCTCAGATTTAGCTCATCCTTATTGTGGCCCTTGCACAGCTGTATAATGCTGCTCCTTTCTGTTTGCCCCAGGCCAGCAACAGCTTCATAACTAAAGAAAAGTGAAATTCTCAATGCATAGACCCTCGAAAATGAGAAAATAAGGGCTTTTTTTTAAAAGTCAGTCACCCCCTGCTGGAGGCAGTACCTGTTTAGTTCTGCCTGTTCCATGTTGTGTGCATTGTCTCAAATCACCATGGCCTGAAGGGAAGCATGCTAGAAAACCTCAGTTCTTATCCCAGTTCTGTGACCTAAAAGTTAGGAGACCTTGAATTACTATTATATGTATATATGGCCTCAGTTCTCTCATCTGGAAAACAGGATTAGGTACCGCTCGTTGTTAAAAAGACTGATGGTAGTATGAGTAAAATACCTAACTTAGGGCCTGATTCATACAGACAATCAATTAATGGTAATTATTTTCAATTATTGTTGAAATTATCAAAGAATAGAGAGGATGAACATATTGAGCCAAAAGTAAAAACCTGACAAGCCTTGGAATATAGGAAAAATACCAGTCCTACAAAATAAGTATAGTCAACCCTTGGTATCTACATGTTCCACTTAATAAATTCAGTCAACTACAGTTAGAAAATATTTGAAAAATAAATTATGTCTGTATTGAATATGTACAGACTTTTTGCTCTTGCCATTATTTCCTCAATAGTACAATATAACAGCTGTTTTACATAGCTTTATATGGGAGGATGTCTATAGGTTATAAAAAACTGCACTATTTTATGTAAGGAACTTGAGCCCATCTAGATTTGGCATCCATGGGGTCTTGGAAACCAATCCCTCACAGATACAGACTGGATAAACCCATAGTCTCTTAAATCCCTTTATTTCCTCTCTTCCATTCCCAAAAGGGGAGAGTGCACCGAAACCTTACGGAATCGGATCAGAGAGCTGGAAGCAGAGGGCAAGAAGCTCACAATGGACATGAAGGTGAAAGAGGACCAGATCAGAGAGCTGGAGCTGAAGGTCCAGGTAATAGGGCACAGAAGGCTCCTCTCCTACTTGATTTCTTCTCTCAGCTTAGATTCATGCTCTGTGCTTCAGTGCGGAGAGAGTGCCCTTTAATACTGACCAAACCTCATCACATCTAAAAATCTGTACGTGACAAAAAGATCAAAAGCTTTAACCTTGTCCAGCTCATTCAAGTCTTCCTTAACATGGTCAGATTGTAATACAAGTCAGAAATGTTGACAAGCCCTTGCCATGTTTCACACCAGGATTTGGCTTACTGGAGATTCATTTAATTTCTTCAGGCTATAGTTCAGCATCCTTTGGAACTTACATCTTTCTCCTTAGTCTTACCCCTGTGTTCACTGTCAGAGAACTGACACTCCTGGATTGCTCTGAGCCTTGCAAATTGTGGTTCTGAGCAGTACGTGAAGAGGAAAGGTGCCAGGACTGTGGACCTAGCCAGTTTGGGGCCATCTGCACCTTAACCAAGTATTTGGCATCAGTTCTTCAAAGTGACATTTAAATTAATGTCATACATTGTAAAGTTACAGTAACTTTAATTGTGTAGAACTGGTAAGAAATTACTATCAGTCAGTACAGTAAAATGGACAACTTGAGACAAAATCTGAAGTGTACAATAAAGGTGGCATCAGAATAGATGGAAAAGGTGAGGGTGAGTCAGTTAAAGGATGACAGCTGGGGAAAGTAAAATTAGAAGTTCACCTCATAATGCACAAAAAGGAATTCTAGATCAAGGGTTGAACGCAGAAAGAGAAAACAGTTTTTTTGTTTATTTGTTTTTTTTTAAGAGGTGAAAATGCAGTTGTATTTATTTGATCTTGAGACAGGGAAAGACTTTCTAAGCATAAAAGCAATGTAAGAGATCACAAATGAAAAAAATACAGGGAAGGTACAGATATTCAACAACTATAAATAATACTCTTAGTATAGAAATAGCTCATAAAAATTGCTAAGTGCTCAGATACGCAGAGAAAGAGGCAAAGGATGTGAACAGATAATTCACAGAGGAAATACAAATGACTGAGAAGAATATGTTTTCATTAATCATCAAAGACATGTAGATTAAAATCAAAAATCATTTTTCTCCTGTGATTTTGACCAAAGATTTTTTAAATGATATCAGTCTTGGTGAAGATGCTACAAAATAGGCCTCATACATTGCTAGTAGAAATGTAACTTTCTGGAAAAGATCATGTACTTTTAAAATATTTCCTGTTTTAGGAATCCAGCTATAAGGTAAATATTTAAAGATCTCATCAATGATTGATATTATTCATTTTTAGTGACTTGAAAGACGTTTGGTATAGTGGTATAAAAATGCAAAAAGTAGAAAAAAATCTTAATAGGACATCTGTTTTAAATGTATGTATACATTCAGGAATATCATACAGCCATTAAAATTCTTATTTTCAGCCAGGCATGGTGGTATACACCTATAATCCCAGCACTCAGGAGGCTGAGGCAGCAGGAGGATCACAAGTTTGAGACCAGACTCGGCTACATAATAAGTTCAAGGCCAGCCTGAGCTACAAAGCAAGACCCTGTCTCAAAAAAATGTTTTTTAAATTTTCAAATAATAGTTTACATTGATATTTTAAAGACTTATGTCTAAAACTGTACAAATAGTATTGATTTAGTTATGCTAAAAGATATGTAAATGCACAAAAAAGAAAGCTAAAAGAAAATGTATCACATTTTTCAGTGCTGAGATTATGGGTAATTTTCACCTTTCTTTGAACTTTTCTGTATTTCTAAATTCCCTATAGTAAGTTTGGATATCTCTCTTGTTGTTGTTTGGCTGTACTGGGGTTTGAACTCAGGGTTTTGTGCTTGCTAGGCAGGTGCTCTACCACTTTAGCCATGCCCCCAGCTGGATATCTTAAAAGAAAAATTCAAATATATACCTACTGGCTATATTACCATCTGTTTTAAATGGACTTTTTTACAGTTTGCCCTGCCAAAATAATGAACATTTTTACAATTTTTATTGCAGGTTGAGAGAACAGTTTTGGCAAGTTTGTCTACAACATTAGAGCAGCATTTACAAATGGCTAACCAGTGGTTCTAAATTGTACTCGCAAGAAAGTGACTGGTTGGAGATAGAGTGCATTATCATCTAGCCATATGCCCCACACAGTCAACCTATGACTCATAAATGCTTTCGGATGTGTGTATCACTATATAAATATAGTTGGCCCTTGCTAACTATAAGGAGTGAGGTCTAAACCCATGAAGCACCAAGATTGTCTGCTCTAGTGGCCAGGGCAAGAATAGTGGATTTTAATTTGTGATTTTAGACTAATTTATAGACATCACTGCCAAAACTACCTTGTAACATTACTGTTTTGCTGATATTGATAGGAGCTTCGGAAGTATAAAGAAAATGAGAAAGACACCGAGGTGTTAATGTCAGCTCTCTCCGCCATGCAAGACAAAACACAGCACCTGGAGAACAGCCTAAGCGCAGAGACAAGAATCAAACTGGACCTGTTCTCCGCACTGGGAGACGCAAAGCGGCAGCTGGAGATTGCCCAGGGTAGGAGAGCAGAGGGCTTGGTGGGATGGCAGAAATGAGCAGGCACAGGGCTGCAGAGAGCAGACTTCTACTTAGAGCTCTGAACAAAAGGGCATTTCAGGATTCTCTTCAAATGGTTTGATAAGTGCCCAACATTGAGATGTAGGAATCCTCACATTAATTCATTTTGAAATGAGTGTCAAGTGCAAGGCAACAGAAAAGAGCATGAGTTTATATATTCAAGTTGCTCATGGTGTTGCTGAAGAAATAGAGAACTGCAGAGTCATCAAAAGGTGCTGGCATAGCAGCACATATGGTGACTGGGAACAGAGGGAGGCAGGGACTGAACTAGTCTGGGGAGTCAGAGAGGACCATGTCCCAGAGAACTGATGTCTGAACTGGGGCCTGAATGTTGAAAAGGGGTTGGCCCAGTGAAGAAGCAGCCTAGTGGGGGTGAGGGTCAAGAGACCTCCTCACAGAAGACAGAGTGTGGGTAGAGGCTGGGAGGTGAGGCAGGGCCTAATGCCTTCACTGCTGCTTGGCTCTGGCTGGACAGAGGGAGGAGTATCTGGAGGACAGACCATTTACTTGGCAGATGATCGCTCAGACTACTATGTGCAAGGCTCCTTGAGAATCTCTGAGGATCAGGGATACGGCCCTGGGAAGGACAGATGATGAATAAGATAGTGGAGAATATATCGATGACAATAAGTGCAGTGATGAAAATAAAGCAGTTGGCGAGGAGGGTGTGAGCATGAGTGTGTAGAGCTGCCCTTGTCACATGGCACTCATGAAAGATTCCTTGAAGAGCAGAGACTTAGAGGAAGAGAGTGAGTGCTCCTGTAAAAAGCTGGAGGAAATAAATCACTTTGGGGAAAGAGCAGCAAGTGCACATAAAGCCCTGGGTGACAGAGGGGGCACTGCAACCTGCATGGCAGGGCAGGAATAGCAGCAGCCAGGTTCTGAGTGACATGAGTGGCTGTGGAAAGAAGGCTTCTAAACAGAGGCATAGCAGGACCTGAGGAAAATGAATTTGAATTTTGTTCAAGAAGTTGATTAGGCTAATTAACTAGACTACTGAATTTTATATGAAAAAATCTTTCAAACAGTTCGTGGGGGAGATGATTTTGATAGGGGGATTGGGGAAAGTTGTGCTGAAGAAGTAGAAACAAAGCTTAAGAGCTCGCCAGGCAGGAAAAGCAAGAGAAGCACACAAGGGGAAGGGGTCCTGTGGCAGCCCAAGCTGATGGGACCTGAAAGCAAAAGTGCAGTGAGGGAGGGAGGGTGTGTCGGGGAAGGCTGAATGGGCTAATGTTGCCTAAGTGTGAGCCAGTTGCACAGGGCACTGAGCAAAGGAAGGACATTGTGCCAAGAAGCAGGGATAGGTAATCTGGGTCACTTGAGAGTTGCCCCCAGGGCAGCAGTCCTGAGGTTCTATGTTTCTGGGTCTGACACTCCATCCTCCCAGAAAGGAGGTGGAGCTGTAGTTCAAAACCAGCACCCCTCTTAGGCTGTCAGGAGGAGACTGCCACCTTCAAAATGGGGTTCCTAGAAAATTGACTTCTTTACTCCAGTCAGAACAAGACACAATCACTTTTTACCTCTATGCCAAGGATCAGTAAACACCCATAGGCCAAATCTGACCTGTTACCTGTTCTTGTACCAGTATGAACTAAGAATGGTTTTTACAGTTTCCATGGTTGGGGGGGGGACTCTGAAAAAGTGTAATGCCCAAAATATTTACTGTTTGGCCCTTTACAGGAAAACTGTGCCTGCTCTTATAAACCAACAAACATGAAATTATTGCTGCTGAACTGAGTCTGCACAGGTTGGCCCAAGAGGGCTGGGTGAGCCCTCCCTCTTTGCTAATAGTGGGTCTTTAATATTGCAGGGCAAGTCCTTCAGAAAGACCAGGAAATCAAGGACCTAAAACAGAAGATAGCCGAAGTCATGGCCGTCATGCCCAGCATAACGTACAGTGCTGCCACCAGCCCCCTGAGCCCTGTTTCTCCCCACTACTCTTCCAAATTTGTGGAGACCAGCCCCTCTGGACTTGATCCCAATGCCTCTGTCTACCAGCCCTTGAAGAAATGAAGTCCAGCTCTGAGATTGCCCATTTGGTTACTAGAAGGCCTCCAAAAACAGCATCTTTGGCAGTCAAGATAAAAAAAAAGTTTATATTGTATTTTGTGGAACTGTATATGTTGTCATTTTTTAAAAGGGGGGGAGATAACATCCAAGTCTGATTAGAACTGCCCATCAGTTGTCTTGTAAATTTTTAGACGACCTCACAGAACTTTGAAGTTTATTTTTTTTGGCCAACACATTAAAACCATTCTTGGATTTCAAGTAGCCAGTTTTGCCTTTTATGTATTCTTACATAGTTTCCTCTTAGAGAAAGAAAAAAGCATAGTTTTTGTTTTTCAGCCCTTTGTTTTGTTTTGTTCTTAAATAAGGAAGCAAAAGCTGCACATTGGATTCACATGGGATGATAAGGAAGCTTAGTTTTTAGAGTGAAAGGGTTAACCTCACACAGCTTCGATCTCATAGCTGCATTAAAGATGATTACCGATTTTACAGAAAACAAAATCCGCCCCTCCAAGGACCAAGCAGATTCAAGGAGCATTATTTAAGTTGAAGAGAGACTTAAGTGATAAGACTAGCTGTAAAATGTACTGGGGGTTGTGTTTGAAATACTTCTGTTCCCACAGGTGTGTTTAGTCCTAGCAAATGGCGAGTAGCAGTCTTCTTCGCAGTGCCTTGGGAAAAGACATTTCAAGAGGAAACTTGGTCATTTTAAACTATTTCCCCCTTTTCCATCATCTGTCTTCAATCTGTATCAAGCTCACTGCGGATCCTGCTGTACAGCTGGTGGGAAACTGGGCTGTTCCTTACCACCATGCCACCTCTTCATTACTTCTCCAGAAAACTTCACTGTGTTCCATGCTTGCCGCCAGTCAAGTACCTTGAGGAGGCTGCTGGGTGGTGTTGTATATGAGAGACTGTAATGGTGTCTGGTAAAAGTTGTGGTCGAGCTTTTTTTTTTTTTCTTTCCTCCCCTCATTTCATTTAACTGTGCTTTCTTCACCTTTCATCATCTTGGGTGTGACGATTTAAAAGAGGGGTGACTATTCCTCAGCTCTTATGCCAATGAGGGTTGTTTTTCTTTCTCTTTTTTTTTTTTTTAAGATTTTTAAACTCAAAACTCTGCACAAAGATGTTGATTTCAACTGTGTATTATACATTGGTAGAAAAGTGTTTGCACAGACAACTTTTGGAAGTGTTTAAGAATCAGGGTGGGGTGGGGGGAGGGATGGGAGAGAGGGGCAAAGCAACATTGTATTTGGAAACCAGGAAAAAATTAAGAAACCAAATAAATTGGTTTTGCTTCCTTGCCACGGGATCTGGAAGGACATAGTTCTAAAATATCCTGTTAATTGGCATGTATGTCTCATTTAAAGCAAATTTAGACAAGTCAGTAAAATAGAAGTATTAAAGAGAACCATCCTTTTAGTCACAGGCCTTGTGTTGGGATTAAAAACAAGCTGTAGCTTTAGCCAGGAGTGCATGCTGCTGCCATTTGCCTTTCTGAATCATCTTGTGTGATTGTCACCACGAAAGTGTTACTCAGAATTGTCATAGACTTTTTTCATCTTTGTGCAAAAACATGGAAAATTGTCACTGACTTTGTGTTGAGGTTACCTCCATTTTGCTGCCTTTGGGACACTATTTTCGTTAAATACTTGGTCTTGGCTGCATTCTTTTTCCTCCCACTGTGGGGTTCAAAAGAATAAACATTTTCTTACTGATAAAACTAGTTTTCTGCCTTTTTAACTTTTTAGGAGGGCACAACAAGGTAGATTGTTCTGAGTGGGACTGAGATAGCTACTATCTACTTCTCATCTCTGCCCTATGGCAGGTGACAGTGCTCCCCCTCCCCCATGGCAGGTCCACTGGGCAGGATACAGACACAGATTTGAGAGGAACCCATCCAGGCTCTCCATGAAGTTTGATTTCTAATCTCTTTTTCTCTTTCCCTGCCTTTCCTCTTCTCTGGCATCGATTAGAGACAAGGCTATCTTACTTTCAGATATACCTTTTCCTAAAAAAAAAAAAAAGCATGTTAGGGGCTAGGTGGTGAGAAGATCTTGAGAGCGAATTTCCTTCACGATGCCTTGCCCTTTTCTAAGATCTGTGGCTACTTAGTGACCATTATTCTTCTAGGTTTCCTACCTGCTTCAGACCCTGAACTGACCTCCCTGATGACTACTTCCATCTGCCTCCCTTGTCTTTAGAGGCCTATTTTCATCTGAGAAGGCAGCTGCCTCTCTTGGCCCACGTTTTCCTCTCTTGGCCATTGTTAGAATTAATCTTGGCTCTGGTTTTGGAAATTTCTGCTTTTGGCAACTTACCCTCTGTCCTTGTTGCTGGATAGCCTTTCTGAGTCTTGGCCAGTAAGTCTCTTGCAGACATACTACACTTAATACCATTTGTAGAATTCCCCAGGGAAAAGCCTGGGCTTGGCTTGGCTTGGCTTGGCTTGGCTTGGTGTTTGCCTTCACCTTGCCTGAAATAATATGTCTGCCTACAGGTTTTCACTGGCACAGTCTTTTCTACCAAGGGAATCTCCAGTTGTCTTTGTTATTTTAGGCCCATCATAAAGTGTCTCCACGTCTTAATTCATTATAATTTATTACATCACATAAAGCAGGGTTTGCTATTCTAGATAGTTAAATATTTACAGGTAGAACTGACTGAGTCAGGCTGGTGGGGTGGCTCAAGTCGTAGAGCACTTGCCTAGCAAGTGCAAGGCCCCTGAGCTCCAACCCCAGTACCACCAAAAATAAAAAAATAAATACAGTAGGCTGAGTGTGTTTTGACTGGCAAAATAATCTCTTTATTGACATCACCCAACTTTACATAAGGGAATAGCTATCTTGTGTTCATCTTCCTCATGATAACCTTTCTAAGAGTACTATAAAATAAGAATGAATGGTTCCTTAGGACCCCTGGCCTGAAGGAAGAGAACAGTGCTTGCTCCTGGCATCCTGTTTGCCCTTGCTCACCTGGCTGTATTAATAGGGCTCTGGAAAGCCACCTGGAGAGCTGAACATTTCTAACAGCTGCCATCCCTTGCTACTGGTGAAATTCACACACCAGAGGGAGCTGAAGAAGTAGCCCAGAAGCAACCCCCTGTCTGTGAAGTCAAACTAGTTACCTGTTTTCAGGTGAGCTGTTTCACTTAGGCCTTAGACCTGTAAATGCCCAGCTGTCTGTGACTGTCAGCTTTTTCACAGGCGGAGCAGCACTTACTAAAGGCATTCCACGTCCAGTGGCTCTGCCCTTCTCTAGTTCACACAGCACCTTATGGCATAGCCAGGCCCTCCAGACAGGGCCAAGAGACTGCTCCCGGCTTTGCCACCACTGGCTCTGTGCCCTTTACCTCTTTGAGGAGCTGTTATCCTCACCTAGGAGGAGTCTTATTCCTTGCAGCGTTGCCTGCTTAGAGGAGATGCTATGGAGACTAGGTGACATGATGCAAAGAACACTGAAAACCAAGTTGGGGGGCCGGCGGCTCACACCTGTAATCCTAGCTACTCAGGAGGTAGAGATCAGGAGGATCACAGTTCGAAGCCAGCCCAGACAAATAGTTTGCAAAACCCTATCTTGAAAAAGACCCTTCACAAAAAAGGGTTGTAATCCCTGAGTTCAAGCACCAGTACTGCAACAACAACAAAAAAACATGAAAACTATCTGGGGCCTCCCCCAGATGGAAGTTCATATTGGCAGCAAGCAATTGAGATATGTACAGACCTAGCTAAGAACTCCTGCTCCTTGGGCCACCTCTGTCCCCACAACCTGACTCCTAAACCTGTGCTACTCACATGTGACTGGCACCTGCAGACCAGCAGCCCTAGCATCCTCGTTAGGATCTCAGGCTCTTCCCCAGGCCCCTCACCTGCATCAGACCCTGCATTTTAATAAGGTCTCCAGGCAATGAGGCAGCATGTTATTTTAGAAGCCCCATCCTAAGCTGACTTTCCTAACCTGTGTCACCCTCTCTTTTCTAGGCCAGAAAAAACCCTCAGGCTTTGAAAATTTAGAGTTAAAAGCTTGGTTGAGGGGCGGGTGGAGTGGCTCAAGTAGTAGAGTGCCTGCCTATCAAGCATGAGGCCCTAAGTTCAAACTCCAGTGCCTCTCTTATCCCAAAAAAGAGCTTAGTTGATGAGGGCGACATGAAAGAGATGAAGATCTCTAAGCCTTACACCTTTTGCATGACTTATTATGTTTCTCCACCCTTGGAATCTAAGCTTTATAAGGGATGAGATTTTTGTCTGTTTACTTGCTGCTGTGACCACAGAACCCAAAATAATGACCGCTAAGGTACTCAATAAATACTGAAAGAATATGACCAATGAATAGATTGGGCATATAATCTTAAGTGCGTCAGAGCATCTCTGCAGTAGAACCGCTGGGATGACAAGTCTCAGCTGAATTGTTCTGTAAGGAGAGGCATGTTTGCGATGACATCTCCCATCTGCCTGCCTCTGGTTTTTGCTGAGACCTTGATTTTCTTGTCAGATTTTTCTCTACAAATTTTCTGCTTGGTTTAGCCAGGTGCAAAGATTTTCTGAACAGCTGGATGCACTGAGAGCAGTCACTTCTCTGTTTAGGAACCCTCGCTACAGGAAACCTGCTGGGGACCTAGCCATTCTTCACCCCTTTGGAGCCTTAGGCCTGACTTTCCCCAGAGCCAGACCCCTTGCACTGAGAGTCAGTGTACAGACTTTTCATTTCAAAGTGATTGAGTTATCAAGCATTTCCTCCAGGAAAGGATCTGGAATTCCTCCAGTAATGTCTCCAAGGAGCTCCTTCCATTGGACCAAAGGGGATCACACTTCCTTTCTTTCCTCCCTCCTTCCTTGGGCTTACTTTGGACATTTTTAATTTATCCTCATCTCCACATTTGTCTTTAGTTCCTCTGCCTTTGTCTGAGGTCCAAGTCCTATGTCTCAGGATGGGTTTTCCATGTGCTGGGTCAGAGAAGTATTTTGTTTTCTTGCAGTGCTAGGACGGAACCCAGGGCCTTGTGTATGCTAGGCAAGCACTCCACCGCCGGACTACATCTCCAGCCTTTCCCAGGTCCTGGAGTCACCTTCTGATGCTCTAATTTCTCTCCTAAGAATCCCAGGCTTAATTGCACAATGCGATGGCACCTTTTAAACCCTGTCCAAGCAGCTTGGGCCTGTTTACTTTGGGAGCTAGTCCATTCTCCCACTCTTTTCCAGTGCTACAACTTCTAGACACCTTAGGGGTAATAGGAAGCTGAGATGCTTGTGACAGGGACTGTTAAAAAGAGAATCTGGCCTAGCCCTGGCACCTCTGCACCCTTGTTCTTCACATTTCCTCCCCACTGCTTGACTGGGGAGCCTCGATCAAAGATGCCTATGTAGTTGGACTGTTATCTGATATCAGGCCCATACTGATTTGGAAGATGGTTCTCACATGTTAGGGTTTGTGAGAACAGCCTAACATAGTCTGTTAAGACACAAATCACTGAACACCACCCCCAAGTTTCTGATGCATGAGGTCTTGGGTAGAGCTGGAAAAGATACATTTCTAACAAGTTTCCAAGTCAGGCTTGGTCCTGGGCTCCACTCTGAGAACCACTAATGAACTACTGGCCCTGGGCACAGCACTGAGGGAAGCCATCCTCACCTGCTGCCACCAGAGGGCACATTCAGCCTCAACCAAAAGCCTCTAGCCTCTCACCTCTAGCCACCAGGGCCATGAGATAGCAGAGCTCATCCCTAAAGATTTAGTTCTAACTGCAATGTTAATTTTTGTTATTAGGAAGAGGAAAAGTAGATGTCACAAATGAGGCGGGTTCTCAAAGCCCGTCCTAACAAGTACCAAAGGTCAAGTGGTTCACCTTTGGGGGTGTTGGATGTCCTGGCTCTCTAGAAGTGCAACCAACAGTCCTCTCTGGAGAAGGTTCCTCAGGCCTCCCTTGCTCTGAAGCAGGAATTTTCTTTCAGAACATCCTGGAATCTTTATAGTTAAAAATGGTAGGTGGGTTTCATTTTCTTCTTTATACTTTACTATATATCCCTAAATTTTCTAAATAAACTCAATGTTACTTTGTAATTAAAAAAATGATTATAAAAACATTTTAAATGTAATTAAAAGTCAAAACAACTCGGAAGGGAGGCAGGCATGGAGGGAGGGAGGGAGAAAGGAAGGAAAAACAGACCCAAGAAGGAACTTGGGGTAAGCAACTTGGGATAGAGAGAAAGCCCCCATCTGGCACTTGCACCCCAATTGTTGGTTCTGGGGTATCTCTCTGGGGATGGAGATCTAGTGGGGTCACAGATGGCCAAATGTTCAAGAAAGCAAGACTGGGACCAAAGAATAGATGGTCACCTGTGAGGACTTAGCTAGTCATCTCTGTAGTGCACCTGTCACCAGAGCTGGGCCCAGTGTGTCTGGGCTCAGGCAGCCCCAGCCCAAGCACAGCCCTCAGTCACATTCAGAAGCTATTGTCACTTGCTCAGGGACTTCCACAGGCCAAGTTGGTGGGAACAGGCCAACACTGCTCAAACCTAGAGAGTTTAGGTTCCTACTTAATGGTTTGCAAACATATTTTGTTTGATCCCTGTAGAATTTCATACTTTGATCTAACATTTAAAAATTGGGGGCTGGGACCATGGCTCAAGTGGTTCAGTGCCTGCCTAGGAAGCTCAAGACTCTGAGTTCAAACCTAAGTGCCACCCAAAAAAAAGAAAAAAGAAAGAAGTCAGGCACCAGTGGCTC